TAGATACCATATACAAAACGCTATGTGCAATGAACCACCAAATCAGTCGAATAACCCTTTGGGAGGAGGGTACTAGACGAACGTAATTGGTACCAGGTTTTGTCAGCGGTGGGCACCGGCAGTGGTCAGGTGTACATAGAAAAGAGGCCATTTTCAATGATCACATCCTTGTCCACAAACGAGAAGACGGACTACCCATGTAGCTATGGAATTGAACACAGACGACTATCCCATTCACACGTGTTCATGCATCAGTTCGCCCCGCTACACACCAACGCCCTGATAATATCACCTCCATTGTTGGTGGTACCCACGGAACAAATCGCCAAACATGAGGAATATCTCGACTACCAAATGAACAACCCCAGGCATTATGAACTGCGAGCGACCAGAAGACTGCATGACCAAAAGGAATCCAACGCGATTTGAAAACGAATTCGAACTGATCAGTTCAAAATACCCTACTAATTTATGAAGCCAAATGTCGCGTTTTTAACCGTGCAAATACTCATGGTGACATGTACGTGTTTGGGTCACACGTTAAAAATACTTCTCATGAACGAGACCTTGGTGTGCCCATATAAACTGACCTACATTGTACAAAACAAGTTGAGACAACTGCGGAAGAGAGCACTCACAACGCCAGCCTCTTTCTGGGGGCATTCGGGAGATTTGACCCACTTATCTTCCCAATGCTGTACAAATCTTACGTGCGCAGTCACCAAGAATACGATATCCGTCCTTGGCAACCTTGGTTGAAGCGCAAAGCATAGGTCCTAGAGAAACCACAGCTCCAACTTACAAAGAACGCCAAAGGTCTCTGATAAAACAGTTTGAATTTACTGAGAGATTTTTACGGAGGCTACCGAGGGCTACGCGGTGATCCAATTTTAGTGCATCAAATATTGTGTGATCAAAATCGCGTACACTGCCATTTACTGACACTTAATCACAATACCAAACGCAGTGCTAATTGGCTCGAACTGAGTGAACCATGCAGCCGTCAAGTATGCTGACGAAATTAATTTTCTCTCAAGGTTTGCCAACCCTGAAACTCTCTCTCAAACTCAGTTATCTCCTCCTCCACTATGGATATGGATTGGATATTGCTCTTAGCTCCCAACAATTCGTTCCTTGAGTTGTGCTTCCATGGAAAATATCTATGGTGCATTTATACCAGATTTATGTCACAGAAACACAAGGCAGCGTTACATAAGTGCACGCTTGCTTGTATTTTCCTCGCAGAATACCTCAGCTACAACTTCCCCTTATGTTGCCTTACATGTCCGTATTTTTTTCTCATTTTGCTCTATCGTTATTCAGAAAGCATCTAACTCAATAGACGCCTAAACAGAAGACTCGTACATCTTCTGATTTTGGATTCATCCCAACCGATTTACGGGACTACTCATGTATCTGCTATTTAACCGGTGATAATTTGGTATTTATTAATCTCTATCACAGTCCTTGCTGTCCAAGTGGTATAATCGACTTAAATTCAACTTTAATGAAAATGGCTAGTCAACTAGCGATTGCGTATCATAGTTGATCAAAATAACTAGTGCATCAGATGAATCGGTAATAATTTATGCATCGTTGTGGCACCTGATGCCAAATCTTGAGACCGAACAGAATTGCTGTTATCCTTTGCTCATGAGTGTAAATTATTACTGAGCCGACTGTAGAGCGCCCTGTTGTGACTGAGCAACACATAGATATTTTACTCCAAACAAACTGATAACACACCTTAAAACTGTTTCATGCAATCGATCCAAACAACTAGTCCCCAGACAGACCAACGATACCCGAACTTTTCTTTCAACTAACTCATGATTCAAACTGCGTTTGCAAGTCATCCTCTATACAATAGCTGCGTTTCGCAGCGGATCCCACAGACTTCTTCACCGTTCTGAGTGCCGTTAATAGTGCAGCTCGGTGGTGTGAGTGTGAAGAATTCTGCCAGTACTATCTACTTGCTGCATCTGGGTTCAAGTTGCGACTAGTTCCACCTAGATACTTGAACTAGGCCGTTACCGGTCATGGAGTGCTGGGCTGGGAGTGAACAGAGTTTGGCATCAGTTTTTACGATTCATCTGTCCGTATGTGAAATACAAGGTTGTGATGGCACAGTTAGATGCCGTTTGGATAGTTTGTAGCAAAACTCGCCCTCAACAGTGTCTCCTCCTGGTTGGCCGGTGCGCGTTTTTTAATTCAGGGATGCTGCTCTCACAGTTGTTCAGTTAGTCGTTCTTTTATACTAGTTGGGTAGCTTGTCCTACTGGAACAGGTAACTTGGTGGCCACTGTGAGGTGGCATCTACAGACAAACCATCCCTTAGTTTTTGAGAAATTGCAGTGAGCAAATCGCAGCAAAAGAGCTTTAACTCCAGTTATCGAGAAATCTGACATTCTACAAAGTTTATTAAGTACAGTGATGCGTAATTATGTTACAGAGCACGTGTAATGGACAATGCCCCTTAAACTTTTGGCAGGATATTCGGCTGTGTTGTCCCCTGTGAAGTGTAAAACCGGGTATAGGGGATAACTAATTTGACGTACTACTGATCAAATGAAAAGCTATTAAAAGTTATTGATTTATGATAATCGTTAACGGTAAAAAGCCTCGCTATTATCATGGTTTCTGCTTGTTGATGTCTTCGAAGTATAGTTCCGTTGGTGACCGAACAAAACATCAGCTTAGACTCTGTTAGATAGGCCTAAGCTGACATATGGAGTTTATTAACCTACGCTAATTCACTCATGTGTCAAACGACAATTCCTTGCGTCTTGTGAAAAGCAAATACCTCTGGCTGCTTGCCAATGTTGAAGATTACGTGGGCCTGCTTGAATTTTCTCCAAGCTACCCCACAGACGTAACGTGAATGTCGAAGTTTAAACACTATATATATCTCGTAGTACCGTGAAATCAGACTCACAAAAGGACGGATCATTGGTACATATTCATCCTGCTCATGCAAGCACAACTGTTGCTGGTTCGTGCTTGTGCACGATGCATTAGAGGCGTTTTACCCTAAAAATTCTTACCTGGGATATTCCTTCAACATTTTCTACCAATTCACCTACCTTCCCAGTGCCTTCAATGCGGTGATGATGGACGCATGAAAAGGGCAGCAAGTTTTTGAGACATCCACTAAAATTCGAGGAACAAACCACACTCGAGTGTGAAGTGAACGGTAAAACACAAAACATTTATACGTCGCAATATAGCAGTGAGTAACAAAATCAATTAATTAAAGAATCGGAATTAGGACAAGAAAATTAGAATAAAACCTGGGTCCTCACGTTCTGAAATGATGGCATTTCAGGAAACAACTTCTTCGAACTTTACATTACTCACAAACATCCACCATTAATCTACCATCGCACATTGGACGTCTGAAGGACAGGAACTTCGGTCTATTGGGAAGTGACGGGTGAGTGAGCCAATCTGCAACATCAGGACAGGTACTGTGAGCTTATTGGCAACACGTCGCGCACCAAGCAGAAGACATGTGTTAAAATTTGCGCACCTAATCGTCAGCCCTCGGTAGCTCAGGTGGTAGAGCAGCGGACCGGAAATTCGTGGACCGGGGTTCGACTCCCCGTCGAGGCATATTATTGTGCGTGAATTTTAATCGTGGCTTCTACTTTCTTCGAACTTTAAGAAAAGTCTGCTTATTTCCAGTAGGCCAATACCCATACTTTACTAACACGTAGCCGCAAGTGGTTGTATGCAGTCTATGTCCCTTCAAAATCACTCAAACAGACAGAATCATGCTCCAGAACTTGGAGAGTGGCTGTTAAAGTGAGATGGCAATCACCGTAATACGTACTTACTAGAGTGGCTACGAACATGCCAGCAAACAATGGACTGAGTAGCAAGCCCTTTGTAGCGTCTTTGTCTCTCTGCATAACTGCACAGTAAAGCGTTATAAAAGGTCTGTAAATTAGTGTCTTTAGGTCCAATGCTTCATATACTTTACATTTAGCCACTGAGATATTCAAACGACTCTTCAAAGCGAGCGACCGTCAACAAAGAAATGGCATTCAAAAGAGTAACCGTTTGTCCTCCGCGTTAAACCTTCCTATAGCACCGAGCAGGACGAACCATGGTATACCAATAGATAGATGATAATTCGCGCCACTGATGAACTACGCAAAACAAGGAAATGGTTTACTACCGACACAATTTGCGACAGCCGACGATCTATTACGATAAGCCTGGTTGCTGGTTCCTAGTTCAGATGCCGAAGGCAAGGCTAGCTCAGTGCTATCTTAAAAATTTCAACATTAAGTTTTTGAGTTCCAGCCAATTCATTTGCATTCACAGATATCCAAAGATTGCGAATTATGGCTTCAGGGTTTCACCTTTAACAGCACCACCGAAAGTTTTAGTCTATCTTACTGTGAAAAATGACCGTGCATCTAGTATTCAGGTATTACAGCTTGATTCAAATCCAACTTCATGGTACTGAGTCGAGAGGTCAGCTTTTGCCTCAGTCTGCCATAAATAGCCTGCAACCAAGCATCATACAAGCCTGTAACCAGCTTGTCTTCCGCGGATAGTTGAACCGGCACCAAAGGTACATTGCAATCGTCTACTTTCACAATGCATACTCTTTCTGTTTGTAAATTCTTCTGGTTTAGGTTTGCCGCCATCTTCTAGCATTGATGCCGTCGCGTTGATCAGTAGGCCAGTGAGATCTTGAATTTCAACTGATCGATGCGGTTTTGGGAAAAGCCAAGTGCAGGTGTTTCTTCCGCATTGTCAGGCGTAGAAATACATAAAGCTGCTAATCTTCTTGTGTACACTGGAATAACCGATTTGATAAAGTAGCAAATAATCTACTTTTCAGTTATACAGCGTCAATTTATTAAACAATTTTGTTTAGTGGTATGACTTGATCTGGACGACTACTTGCATGGTGTACAGGTTATCCGGCATTTTCATACTCTAAGGTAATCTTACTTCCTCGGCTGCTCCAATCTATTTTATCTTAGGACTGGCGACAAATCTGCGTGCAAAAAGTATCAGAAAATCTGCAAAATCGGTGAAGGTGCTTACGGAATAGTGTACAAATGCCGCGATTCAACGATCGATCGTCTGGTAGCAATCAAGCAGTTCACGGCATCTGAGGATGATCCGGATATTAGAAAAATGGCGATGCGCGAAATTAGGATGCTCAAGGTGAGGAAGAATAATTGCCGTTCTTTCTAGCTTGGATGAATGACGGTTTTCTAAGGTTATTTGGCAATTATGAAAGTGGGATCAGGAGGTTGGGGATGATTTTGAACGTTAGAACTAAGATCCTCCAGGGAGAGGAATATTTGTCGTTAGTCCATTCCCTTGTACCATTAAATTTACACTACTGTAACTAGCGAGCTTTTTTCCTTACGCACCTCACCCTCAACTTAAGGGTTATTCCAGTTTTCCTAACGGAACTGTCAGATGAATCGGGTTCATGTTTACTATCATTACACCCCATAATACAGTCGAAGTTTCCAAGACTCATTAAATTTTTGGCCAAAATGTAAGTAAGAAAATGGAAAAAGCGTTCTTTAATATTTTCAAATATGTGTCTTGAACGAGAACTCCTCTTTCCTGGGGAAGCTCTACCGTTCAGTGTTGAATCAGTGTTTAATTTCGAGAAACCTTCACAGAGTCGGTGCTAAGTCACAACTGGCCAATATGTATAATCGCTTTCAGACCTGGTGACATTTGAGTTTTGGTAGAGGCATGTTCTTAAGTAATGTAATACAACGATACAAAATCCAGCTCTCTGTAGCTCGGACTGAAGTTAACTGCACCGGGGCAACTTCGTCTGTACAATTTTAATAGAACTATTCAACTAAGAAAGGCTAAAAGGCAAACCCAAATTTTCAGAACAATATACCATTTCCCAGATTTTGCGAAGTTCATCAGTGGCGCGAATTATCATCAATCGGTTCGAACATGGTGCCTGACTCTCGTTAACAAATGTCAATGCTTGCTGCTAGTCTTTACACAGTGCTTTATTCTAGAGTAGTTTTATACTGTGTTTGCCAGGATGGTTTCGTTATTTGATCTTAGTCAATGAACACGCTACTGCAATAATTCAACCTAAATACCCAATTGGCGGTATATTTCATCATGATATCCGCCACAACCAAGTGCATTGAATGAAGACCTTGTCCGCAGTTAGGTTGTGTTGGTGCTTAATGTGTAGTGCAGTATGAAATTACAAACACAACAGCATCTAGCAAGCCGGGTGGCTGCCTAAAGCTAACCTATTGAAGAGTTCATTCGTAGACTTGCACGGTACTGTTGGAACTGCAGGTCATCTTCAAAGTGGAGTGAGCACACCAGAGTGTAAACAAGCCATCCGTTTTCTGTGACATGGATAATGTGACATAAGGAATGTCAACCAAAACGGCATTTACGAACGCCAAAACTTGCCTTGGGGTTGCCCGTACAAACCGTTGTAAACTATTTGCTAAGAATGTGGTGCACTTTTAATGACTACCATGAGCAAAAACGAGCAGGCGTGCTGAAATCGGTGAAATTATGGACCACTGCGGACAAATGGCGCTTAGTTTACAACTCAGCCACCACAGGTAGGTTGTGGATGAACGCACGCAACAGGAAAATCTGATGAGGACGACAAGGCGTACAAGGTACAGAGAAATCTCTGCAACGACGAGAGAACCAAAAACGCAGAAGTTTCGCAGGGCAGCTTGCAACCGCGCAAAAACTGCTCTCAAGAGGATCTCCACCTGCATGAAGCGGTGCTTGAGGACTGCAGGAAATGTTCCAGTGTTGGAAGGCTTTTAGCTAGACGGCCCCTAACCTCAAGCACAGGTTGTGCGTAAGCATTGGAGGTACACTTCCTCTCCTTATTTGCAATCGACCAGGTGTCTATAACGAGTTCGACGGGTACCGCTCCCGCTGATATAGACAGCCTAGACTGCATCACTGAAGACGTTCGCAAGCTTCTAGCAAGCATTGACGGAACGAAACCTGCTGGGCCAGATGAAATCCACCCACTAATTCCCAAGTCTCAATCGGCCATCATCTCGCCTTCTTTAACTGAACTGTTCAACAGGTCACTATCCACTGGACTATTACCGGGAGACTAGAAATGCTCAGTCGTAAAGCTAATACCGAAAGGTGGTTACCCAAGCAAATGGATAACTACCAAACGATCTGCCTGACCGCTGTTTTGGCAAAGACCCTCGAGAAGATCGTGAAGAAGAGCCTTCTGCGGCTTCTCGAGTCGAAAAGCCTCTTAACGCCCGCACAGCATGATTTCGTGAAAGGTCACTCGTGCATCACCAACCTAATGTTGACGACGCACGAATGGTTACAAGCGATGAAGCAAGGCAAATTGGTCGACGTCATTTACATTGACTTCAGTAAAACTTTTGGCAAGGTAAATCATGATGTGCTCCTTGACAGGTTGAGGGTGTGCGGTGTTGGTGGCTCGCTGCACTAATGGATCAGGAATTTCCTTGTTGATCGAAAGTGGAGGGTCCAGGTGGACAACCGTTTAACCAACTGGTATCCATCGAGCAGTGCTCCAAGGCACTGTACTGGGACCGCTTTTGTTTCTCAGCCATGTAAACGATGTGCCTCAGTTACTCCAAGTACGTTGGGTGTTGTTCGCAGATGACTTGAAGGTGTGGAGAGTAATCCGCACACCCAATGATTGTGACCTGCTTCAGCAGTACCTCGACCACCTCTCCACATGGTCTGCAGAGTTCAACCTTCCGATCAACCCGGTCAACTTGCAATTCGGGAGGCTGGGTAAGTGTGAGCACAGTCGAACCTACTCGGTGGCTGGTCAACCATTGCATCCTACGCCTTTCGTGCGCGACCTCCAGGTACTCTCTCTCTACGACCTAAAGTCCATAAACAACACTAATAGGCTTTACCAAAACAGCCTTAATATGCCTTGGGCGCTCAGGCGCAGCTTCAGTACTTGGTCCGAAGAGATTGCCTCTTGCCTCTTTGTCTCAATAATGCGACCAGTGGTAGAGTATGGCTCCCCGCTTATTGTTCAATCACCCGGGGCGAGGTAGAAAAGATTGAGCGAATGCAGCATGTAGCCACCAGGCTGATTCCCAACTTACGAGGTGTGCCGTACGAAGACCGGTGTAAAAAACTGGGGCTGTACACCCTAGCTTATGGTCGAATGCAGGTTGACCTAATCATGACGCACTGGATATTACATCTGGGAGATTACCCCATGTTGGGACCGCTGCTTCATCTGCGCACACCAAGCAGCACACGAGGACACCGGTACAAGCTTGTCGTACCAGATTTGAAGCAGGTCGCTCACCAACTCTGTTTCGAACGCAGAGTAGTCAATGTATGGAACGGCCTAGCGCAGCACGTAGTTGAGTCAAAGTGGGTGTCGGAATTCAATAAGTTCCTGGATAACCACGTTGCCAACGCAAAATATATTGAGCGCAACACAACATAACGGGTCTTTGTCCCTGAGTGATATTAGATGCAGCTACAGAGGGTAAACTCTACTTGATGCTTCCAACCAGTAGTCAGTAATCAAAACGGCACCATGAATGAAGTGCGCAAATAGGCCCGACTGTTCTATGTATGAGCTACTGAGTTAGTTAGACTTGCGCAATTTGCTATGTGCTCAGCAGTGGTGGGACGATTAAATGGCATTAGGAACCAACATCACCTGTTCTAGCACATACCCGACTGCTGAGATTGTTTGTACGAAAATGGTTTTTATACGTACGTAACCTTCTTATCACTTTTACAGCGTTTGAAGCATCCAAATCTGGTAAACCTGATTGAAGTTTTCCGGAAGAAAAAACGTCTGCACTTGGTTTTTGAATATATTGACAACACATTGCTTAATGAATTGGAACAACGCCCTTGCAGGTGAGTCAGCCGGGTTGCGGCGAGTCAATGTATACGCATCGTTTGCATTTTGCACTCGTAAAAGTGAAAAGGTAACAAGTCGAGTCCAGGAACCGCTTGTTCACAACTCCAGAAAATCGACCGCCAGTACCTTTTTCGTCCATCCATGAACATGCGATATAATGCTCTATATTGTTCCCATTAACAATAAAGGTCTGTATATTTAGTGAAATGTAGTTTTGTGATGCGAACAAAGCTAATTAAAGTTTAAACCAATTTGATTACTATTGATAGAGGTCAAGAATATAGCGCCTACGGTAACAATAAATACTCAGTGCATCGTACTACCTCCCTGATGCGTACTCCTCACTGTAATACAGCATGCATAAGGAAATACGTACTTGTCGTAATCACTTAGTGTAACTTGGTAACAACCGAGAACAATTAGACCACTTAGCTAGATGCTAGCATTGATCTTTTGATTCTAGAATATGCCTGTGAAATTAGCCCTGAAATGATGCAATAACTCCCCAGCAAATGGTGGGTGTTAGTCGCAGATTATACTTAAGAATTTTGCCACCTTAATAGAGAGCAATCCCATTTCTGTAGTCACCACCTTTATACATCTAAGCTATAGTTTGCCGTAACACTAACAACATCTAAGAAGCAGTAGTTTAGTTAGATCGTTAGCGAACTCTTTTGCAGTGCCGCTTGATGTGTAGGATGGTTGTTATCATGGTTTTACAAGAACAAAAGTATAGATGTGTACATCACAGTAAGAGGATCATCTTCGTTGGTGAAATATAACGGGTTTTTGTCCAATTTCTTTCTTCTTCCGAATACGCATGTTAAGACACTGGAGTAGATTGCACTCGACCACAGTTATCTTGCAAATTATGACAGCCTGCTGTTATTTTCTGTTGTAATTCTTCCTTCTTTAACTCTATGCCAATGACGACTGTGCTATTGCTGCTAGCTGCGCCTTGAGACTGCGACTGTCTGACTGCTCACTCACGCGCCCAGCCCACCAACGGAATGCAGAAGACCAAGGTTCGGTAGACAGAGAGAATTATTGTATGAGAGCACGGCCCATTAAATAGGTTGTGGGCAACTACTTAAACAACAATATTGGAGATGCAAATTGGCGTTAATTAACACAACTCAAATGGTTCAAGTTCGTGATCCAACTTGCCTCTGATTCCGCATCAATTCGTATTTTGATCTATAGTCGAGTTCCATCCCAAATTACAGATCGATGCACTTATACGGCACTGCTCTTGGCTTGATTGTTAGCTGTAAGTTCTCTCCGTAACATTTTCCATGCCTCATTAACGTAAACTACTGGCTATTGTCGTAATCTGAGGTTAACCACAGGTATTTTTCGTGGTGGAGTAGACGAATGCACACAACGGGAGCCTCAATAAGGCTAAACGGCCTTCTGGTGCTTTGTCGAATCCAAGTCAGGTCAGGTCAAACCGAGCTCAGCTTTATACATCCGTGTGGGAGTTTGCTCAGCAATTTTCCCTGACACTGTCGTTTCGGTGAGCATAAGGCAAAAGGACAAGGAAACAGAAAGAGTTCCTTTTCAATCAAACAAACGGTAACCCAGGGGATGCAGCATTACGTGTGGGTCGAATATCAGGAGAGGCATATAAGGCAAGCTGGGGGTTTCCATACCACGAGTCACGAGGAAATACGACTTTACATTTCAACCGCGTAGAAGAAAATGTCGTACTGGCTAGAACATTTTGAAGGGAGTTAGAGGGGTCGTTTAGGGACCTGAATAAAACGTTGAAGCATGCGTCAAAATGCTTCTAACGATGAAATCAATGTGATATATTTGCTTAAACGAGAGAAGCTGGAAATGAATTTTACTGAGATCCTAATATAAGTATAATCCTTTTGAAGTATTCCATGGCAAAGTACTGGGGGATACATGTGCTTACAGATCATAGAATTATAGCACAGAGTGAGGGAATAATTTGCGCCTGAAGTTGTAAAATCCTAGGCTAGGGAAGATCCGAATTTTTCAAGCATTTGTGTAGAGCAGGTTAAATTATAATCCGGAGATATATTACAGAGTGCAAATGTGGGATGTTTCTTATTTACGACTAAATGAGTAGAAGTGTTTAAAAGAAAATGTAGTTTGTCGCGGCGAAATAAAAAAGATATGATATGACCACGTAACATTTGGAAGAGTCCATGGCTATGGACCGGGAGATTGGCCAAGTCAAGAGTCCGTCTAGTTCTTGTTGTAGTTTGGAAGATTTCGCGGTTGTTGGGGTTAAACATTCTAGGATGACGTCATCAACGTAGTTAGATGCGATGAAACTGGATGAAATTAGTAACAATGCAGCGTAGATAGAAAAAGGGAGCTAAAATTACTCCTTACAAAACGCCACCAATGACGGGGCTTGCGCAAAACAGGTTACCACATAACTGCGTGAAGTTTGTGTGGTTCTGAAGTAGCTAAGCATTAAGTGGTATTGATATGGAAGAACACAACTGCTAAATCAAAGATTTAGTAGTAACTATCTGTCAAGGCTCCCAAAGACATTGGTATGGTCGAGGAATATGAGCCGCATTTCGCTGCATCTTTGACCCATAGTAAATGCAATGGAGTGCACGACTAACGTAATGGCATCCAGTATAGAGTGCTCTGAGTTGTAATTAAACTGTCTGGTATAATCTGCATGACCGCATGTGAAGATGAGTGGGATTAATTGATTTTCAAGTGTTTGCAACAACACAGCATTGCACATTTTTGGCCCATATTTATATTTTCTTAGGCACTGGTGTTATTCTGGTGCCTTTTCATATATCATAGATCACACCAACCCTTAAGCATCGGTTTGTTGTAAGATGAGCTGGCTTACGAGCTGTTGAGATGGACCAGTTAAGTGTCCTCATAAAACGTTTCAAATTGTCAGTAAAACGAAACTAGTCGAGTAATCGTGGAGTTAAAAAAATGCAGTTGCTAGTTGGTTCGCCCTACAGATTTAAGTCTATGTGGGCTCCTATATCTGGGTTATTTTGCGCAGCTGTTCATTACTCTCTGCTTACACCTCGTCACAATTTGTGTGTACGCTTTTAGTAATAAGAATCAAATGCATGTAACACAGTATGAGTTCTTAATATCACACTTGTGCACACCAGGTCAATAGCACCCATTTGTAGATTGTAAAAGCAAAGTTGGTTAGTTCAAAAATAATCAAGCTGAATAAATACCTTTAACTAATGAAAGACCATTGGTATTACATCTTTGTACTCATTAACTTCCACTGTACATTTCTGTTCCACCACAAAAGTGAAGTACATTACTCTTTAGCCCTAATTCTATGGACTGATTTTTCTGGATCCGTTTTTACAGGCTGGACGCTACCAAGATAAAGAAAATCACATGGCAACTTCTGCTTGCAATCGAATTCTGCCATCACTCAAATGTGAGTTTGAAAACCTGCGGAGTTCGTTAAAGCGTGTTACATCATTTTCCCCAATGAATCACACCGGTGATTGACTCAGGTTATTGAAAGTCTGTACCAATATAAATGCCATAAACGTTGAACAAGTGAGTATATACTCATTACGATATAATGATCATTGCCGTAAGTAAGATCATCCTATAGACTCAGGATAAACTTTATCATGCTGCGCCCCTGCATCCAGCATCCGCAGATAATTATCAAGTTCTGTTCATGAGATGCAATAATTAAGAGGTAGAGTGAATATGCGATCGCCTGCGAACTGCATTCCTTCCGACATCGTATGACCTTTATTTCCGATTCTGCGGACGTCGACGCCCTGCATTTCCATATAGAAGCCAACGAGCGATAGCATGTTATAAACATAGCAATACCAACTAACGCTGAGAACCGTTTGGCAAAATACAATTTGCTGTCAATCGCATCGTTATTCTTTTGCTTGGAACCACAGATCATGTACAAATTGTAGAAGGAATTTGTCGCCACCAGTAGTAGTGAAGGCTAAGAAAACTTTAAAAAATGAATGCTTCCATAATCAGTGAAGACACGCGATCTACTGTACTGTGAGGACGGTTTGAAAGCACTCCTCTGATAAATACTATATCACATACGCAGGCTAGCGAAGCAGTAAGAGTTGCCGGTTCAAAAGAGTTGATTTCTCTCTGCCTGAAAATAAGAGCAATTCAGGACGCCTGCGCAAACCGATGTACTAACGAAACGTGCCCTACAACGCCTAAACTTTCCTTCTCGTGCGCCATTTGTTGGCGAGGCAAAATGACCGACGGCTGGAATGTACTTTGGCGGTACAAGGCAAGATCTCCCTAAACCTGCTAACAAGTTGACTAACTCAGTTAAGTCTCGCCCGTGTAGTCGGCCGTGCTGAACACGCAGTCAGACGTGGATTTTGTGTGAGCTGTGCCAGAATTGCTGCGCAGCGATATGTGAGAAAACCTTTCGCGCATCAAACAACCAAGTGGCAGGAGAAGTCAAGCCTGAGAACTATCAATGATCTCACGGGCATGGCCAGGCCTAGGCATCGGCCAGGACCTCCAAACGGCAAACATCAAGCATACTTGGCATATGGGGACGGAAGTGACGGCCAAGATGTTAGTATGCTGGTAGCATTAATAATTCCGCGCTGGCCATCCGAGTTCTTTTGCTGATTTTCCTCGGCTGGGTTGGAAGCGGCACCAGAGAATGCGCAGCGACTGATTAGCTTCACGACCGAGAGCATTTACGACAGTAAAACTAAAGAAGAAAATCGGTGGGTAAGTGAGAGGCTGCTACCAATGTTCGTGAGTCAGCCTACACCACATTGATAACTGTTTAGGTTAAGAGCTAGCAGTTTAAGTAATATTACTGTAAGAGTAGGCTGCATGTAAATATAAACTATACATAGAATAGCACAGCATAGCACTAAGAAAGTCATTACAGGAAACCTGGCCTGTAACCGACAGGGTGTTAACTTAACTTGGTCCGGAAATAGGAGTAGCCGCAACCAGGTGCTGACGTGAACTGCGACGCTGAATTGTTAACTGTCCAATGAAGCAAATTGTTTTGCCGGCAGGGGTGCAATGGGACACAGAGACGCGACACGTGTGCCCACGATGGCAGGGCACACAGAGCGTTTCGGCTGTGAGAGGTGAAGCTCAGCAAAGAGCAAGACCGCAATCGACCTGTGGTACGTGGATCGCAGGGCATGACCAACGGAACGCACGCCGTTCGGCTGTGAGCAGTGAAGGTTAGCAATACCACAGTCTCAATCGATCTGTCATGCGTGGATCACAGGTCAAGGGAACGCACGCCGTTCGGCGTTGAGAACTGGACGTGAGTCAGACACAACCGCCGCACTGGACGTGTCATGACCAGGCCTGATCGATTTGTACCCCTAACAATTGTCTGACGTTGGGGGCAATAGTTACATTCATGACCAAATTGGTGTGCTGGCTAATAGTGTCACCAGTGCGTCGGGACAGCCTGAAATCTAAGCGCATTGTCACGTCAAGCATTCGTCTTTATGCACCCATGATGGGTGAATTTTCAGCTGTAACACACACACGATCAAAATGGTAAAGCGAAAAATACTGTAATCTTACAATGTGCTCCTGGTTGTATGCTTCCATTTTGCAGCGAAAGCAGCCTAAAAATGCTTACAAGTTTGTTGGAAGCCAGTCATCAAGCGATAGCAGCTTTTG